AAACAGACTTCAAAGAGACCACAAGTTTTTGGAGGACTGGGGAAAATATAGAGAGTATTTGAAAACTGTATGTGAGGAGCATACAACGCTAGTGTGTTTTAAAGCAGCTTTGTGAAAATTAAGGAATATTGCAAGAATGTAAACGAGGATAGAAAAATTTTATTTAAAGGCGATATTACAATTAAGAAATGTGCAGACAGGAGAATAACTATGGATGATTGTCAGAGGAGTTGAGGGAGGTTCAATAAGCTAAAATATGTGATGTGGAAAATTGAATGATTGGAGATTCTATGGAAAAGTTTAATAAAAAATATTTTAAAAAAATAGGATTTACTTTTGAGTAGACATGTGCAAACTTTCACTGTGTGAATGTCAACAAGCTGTCACCTAAGATATAAGCATTTTACTTTCTGCTAATATTGCCACCAGATATATGAATATTGCTTGCCCAAAATATTGTAGAACCTATACACATGGACATATTGGGTAACAATTAAAAGACAAGTATGAAAAACAGTCAAATAATAACACAAGCTGTTTATTACATGAAACTAATTTCATTGTTCAGATCAAAAATATAAAGTACATGATGCATTTTTTGAAATTTATGAGGAAACGGTAGCTAGTAACATGCAAAGAAATATGAATTAGGTAAGTACCTCCTGTTTAAATTAAAGTCCATTTTTCATGGCTAGTGCTACAGTATTTATTCCATAGATATTCAATTGTTTCATTTATATTTCTGTAGTTTTTGCTTTGGCATTGAAATTGTTAAACTTGTCTCATCTCTTCTCATTACCAGAATATTTCATAGGTAAATCTACTCAAGAAAGCTATTGTGCTTTCTGATCAAAGTGGAAATTGATGCTAGGGTATAATAAGCAATTTAATTTTTAATGAGCTTATTTAGGCCCAAGGTTATAAGAAAGGTTACAAGGTGCAAAAATAACCTAAACAAAAATAACAACAAAATCCTGCTCCAGAACACTAATGACAGTGTCCAAAATTTGATCAGGGTGGAATAAAAGTTAGCAGAAATCATTTAATATTGCACTACTGTATTTTCTTTTTTCAGAACTGTGACTAAGAATGAGCAATGTATAGCATATTAAACAATACTGGAACACATAAAATGTGAGAGGCTATTTTTCTTCAAAGAAGTCAGCTAACCAATTTGTTGAATTTAACTTTTCAAAGTGCATGTTCAAAAGTTGTTGTATTGTGGTTTGTTAACCCTGTATTACCTCTCAAATCTCTACAGAGAAGCAGATTCTTTGACAGCGGAGTCTATCTTCAGGAAACTTTATTTTTAAAGCAAAAAATAAAATAGAAAATTGGTATGTGGCCTTTAACAGAAAGGGCTCTTTATGCTGCAGCTAAGAAGGCTTGATTCTGCAGCATTCCCATCAGCTACACATAAAGAGTAGCAGGATGTGAAGCAGAGCCTAAGAGGAAGGTAGGATCATGTAGCAGCAGCTAGTTCCCATGTTCCCAAATCATGTTTGGCTTTAGAGGAGATAACCAGCGCTCTGAACTGAAATCACATGAAGATCAAATAAAGAACAGTAGCCCAACCTGTCTATGATCAAGGTATGTTCAACAGTACCTGCATTTTCTTCTCTAGAAAAACAATCCAACAGCAAACCATGGACTATAGCTGGTATGTTGAAACTAACCATACTTTAGTATTATCCTGTAATCCCCAGTTCAGGTTCCATGGGGTTTGCTAACTGCAAAGGGCAAAGCTTCCAAAATCGTCTTCGCAGCTGTGCTGGAGGAAGACAAAAAGAGTATGTGCAAACTATGGTCATTCACTGTCAGCATTGCGTATACAATAGCAGACTGAGGTGAGTCAGTAGTCAGGACCCTTCAGATCAAACAACCAACTAGAAGGCAAGGAGTGGGACTCATAGGGGCCATAGCGTTACCAATTTGGGGTGGGCGATTCTATTCCATGCCTTGGTAGTGAGCCTATGCTGTCCCTCAGGACCAGTATGACCACCATGCCGTTTATCTATATAAAGTTGTTTGGGTAGGACATTCTGGGTTTGGGGTTCTGTCACCAATACAGTGGTACCTCGGGTTAAGTACTTAATTCGTTCCGGAGGTCCATTCTTAACCTGAAACCATTCTTAACTTGAAGCACCACTTTAGCTAATGGGGCCTCCTGCTGCTGCCACACCGCCGGAGCACAATTTCTGTTCTCATCCTGAAGCAAAGTTCTTAACCCGAGGTACTATTTTTGCATTAGTGGAGTCTGTAACCTGAAGTGTATGTAACCCGAGGTACCACTGTACATAGAAGACACTCAATTCTATCTCTCCTTTCTGTCTCATTCACAGAAAGCTGTGAACCCAAGCCTTCTCAGATACCTAGAGAGGCCTGGACCACTGACTTTTGAGGCTCATAGCCATAATAAATGCAGCCATGAAAAATGATGACATCTGAACACAAAGTGAGGCTCCAAATAAAGAAGACTGAAACATAAATTGAATTTCAGGTTGTAAATTATTGTTTTGGTTTTCATGATTTTGCTGCTGTATTTAATTTCTGCAGTTGCTTTAGTTAGCTTATAATTTATATTTTCAGGTGTTAAGTTATTGTTTTGCCTTTGTTATCTGCCTTGATCTACCTTTCATGTTCTTAAATATTAAATGAAGGACAAATCAAGAAGTGTGATAAAGGAACAAACCAGGAGTTGGGACCAAATAATAATGAAGATACCAGTGCCTAGGAAGACTTTGTTGCTGAAGCAAATTTAATTTGGAGAAACAACTCTTTAATACTCCTTCCTGCCTAGAAGGATCCAATGGTCAGCATGGGTGGACAGCACTCTTCACTGACAAGCTGCAGTTCAGTGGGTCACCACAAAGGGCAGCCACATAATAGCTTTTCATACACATGCAGTCTTAACCATGGTGTTCCTCATATCTGCACAACAGCTGACATGTTTTTTGAGAAGGTAAACATTTTTGGCCTCATGTTGGATGCTGTTCTCAAAGTGGACCCACATTTTAGGAGCAGCTTCTTGGACAGTGAAGGCATCTATATTCCAAAGGGAAGCTTCAGATAATGCTTCATATGTATGGAATTAAGTATATGGTCCACTGGATCACAGACAATATCAGCAATGAATGAACTCGTGAAATATATATCAAACTATTAGGCTTTAATATTTTATCAGGAAATAGCATTGATAGCTTGTCAGGAGGTTAAAAAAATCTGGAAATCCAATCTTATGTCACAACTCTTCTTTTCAATATGTTGTGTTTTTCTTATTGTGTGCAAGCAGGGAATTTGCTTAGCAGGTTAGGTTTTCATGCCTTTTTCTTCACTTTTGAAGTATCTATTCTCTCTTATCACAATGGTTGCTGTAGAAACAAATTTGGATGTCTCAGATGAAGCATTATGACTTCAGGTAAAATAGGTAGAGAGCAGCACAAGTTAAGACAATATTGTTGGAGAGAATTTAAGCTTCTAAGAGAAAATAAATAAAATATCTGACACGGGATCTGAAGGAGATAAGATGTGATACTCTGCCGTATGTATTTCGGTTACCAAATAGCCACACAAAAACAACACTGAAATAAATTCAGGGTTATAGCAAGTTATTTCAGACTTCTCCAGTGAAATATAGTGCAATACAGATTAGAACATTCCTCTGAATTCATTCAAAGCCTCTGGCTATTGTGCAATAGATGGCAATTGTTAGGATTTTATAAATGAATTCTAGAGTCCTCTAGAAGTTATTATATATATTTTCTATGTTCTTTAAAAGTTCTAAATTTATGAACCTCCATAACAGCAAGCCATTATTTGTCTGTAAACCTAAGCTTTCTTTCTTCAGATGCCCATGGCTACAGTCCAACAAGATGGAACCACATACACACCTACATTCATAGAAATGGGGAAGGTCCAGCTCTTCAACTAAAATGTTGGACAAGCAATGCCAAACTATGGATAGGGTCCCTATATAGGTACAACCAGCTGCTGAATCCATCAAGGTCTTCCCTGCTCTGTTCAGTCCTATGACTCACATCAGCCACACATGGAGGTGACTGACCAGCAAGCTCAAATAGCTTTGTTATACCAGCTCCTGGGGGAGGAAGTACTGTTGATTAATGTTCCCGCCCTTGTATTCTATTGGCCTTAGCTCTTAGGTACCAAAAAATGGCTTACTGTGAAGACTAAGGTTTGAACTGAAATACTCTGAGCTTCAGCAAATATCACTGCCCTTTCATTCCTTCTGTATTTCTTATGCAATGGTGCTCTCCCAATTTTAAAGAGGGAAGATGCTGATAAAAAGTGCATTACCTGCCCTATTTTCAGTGCGGGATATTTGCTGTTAAAGCCCAATGAAGAATTAATTTCAGGATTGGATAATATGGCACCAGGACATAATGTCTGTTGGAAAATATATTTAATTATTTAAATATTTTATGGTTGTAATTTTGTAGGATCCTTCAAAGACTTTTAAAAATACACTTTTACATATTCTTGCATAGTTAAAAAAAAAACCCTGAAGACGACCATAAATAATAAGCCAACATAATAACAAAATTCCCTGCTAAATGACAGCCAGGAATAAGTTTAAGATTGGGGTGTCAATCATGTGAAATGGAAATAAGGTTTTTTATATTAAGAGCTGGATAAAAACACAGAAACGAAAGCAATAATTAAATGGATCAATTTTTGTTACAATATAAATTGCTAAGAGCTGGCAGTCTACAGGTCAGTTTTAGCATGGCTGTAATTATATGTGTAGCAATACTGCCAGGCAGTAGCAGAATTAACTGTGTAGTGAAAGAGAAGATGCAGAGAAGCCTGTAGCGAGGTATTTTGCCTTTTCAAGAAGGAAAGGCATTTCTTTCTCCTCACTGGGATTGAAACCTCTGTGGTTCCACTATACACCTCTCCCACTGACTGCCCATTAATCCTTTGCAATACATAAACCCCGCTAAGCGAAGCCTCAACCGCAATCTACCACAACAAGGCTGACATAAACATCATCTTTCTTTTCAAAGCAGTAATACAGCATGGTTAAAGACACTGTTCTCTGGACAAGGTACAATAAAAAATAGAAAACAAAATATAAGACATAAAATACATATACATTTGATTGTCAAGGCCGTCCAACAGCAGTTACTAGCCACAATGACTATGTTGTACTTCCACTGTCAGAAATAGTATGCCTCTGAATACCAGTTGCTGGGAATCACATGCGGCAGAGTATTTTTGCTCTCAGGTTCTGCTGGTCGGCATGCCACATGTCACTGACCACTGTGAGAACAGGATGCTGGACAACTGATGGCTCTTCGGATGTTCTCATGAGCCCTGTATTTTTTTTAGTGTGGCAGTGCTGTTTCCTTCTTTAGGTCCAGAGACTACTCCAGAAAAACCACCTCCTTCTGAGTTTGGTGGGTTTGCTTTTCCTTCACATATTTCTTCCTTACCTGGTTGCTGGAATACCATAAGCAAGGTGTGAGTGGCAGGGTTCTTCAGATCAAAATAATGACACTGCAAGGATACAAAAATACCTGACTTTACTGTGCTATCTGCGCTTTGTACCTGCTTCAATACTAGACCCAGTACAGTGGCTAAATTTTGGGTTATTTGCCTCTGTAATAAAAGCCCATTCATATAAAGATGGGATATAACCACATTTGATTACTTCATTCCTGGAATGTCTCTATAGAATCACACACTCGTAGGGTATGAGGTTTAAACATGTTGACATCATACTGTAAATAGGGATGAGAACGAGTGCTTTAAGTGTTGGTTAACAAAATATGCAGCAGGCTACAAAAACCATGAATCTTTCAAAGCAGAAAGGGGAAGGGTTATTGTAACATAGAGGCGGGTGCAGAAAATGCTTTTTTTAAAAGAAAATACAAAATGCTTCAGTCTACAGAAACCTAATATAAAGGTACATTTCAGAGAGTTCTTTTACCCTTTCTATTTGATGTTTCAGTCTTAAAAATAATTAATGTTGGAATTTTAATATATGGTTATTAAGTACAGAAGAACTGAAAAATGAATAAAAATTGAAGGAGGCAACTACAAGCAACTCAATAAAGCAATTCACAGCATTTTGAAACCAGCAGATCCTTACTTAGCCTGGCTTTGACTCTCTTCATCTTTTCTTCTGTTATTCTTTTTCTTTTGGGTCCTTTGTGATTTTTTTCCATTTTTCTTTGCTCCAGCCACCTGCTCCCACCTCTTTGTGTTCTTAACCCTAATTTCGCAACACTCCCAGGAGAAAAAAATATATAGTTGCTTTACCTGAGGAAAGAGGTTGAATTCATTGAATTCAGTAAGGATTTCAGGTGATTAAAGTGAACAATATTGGACCAATTTCCAGAGCAAGCCGATATAGGTGGGGGGTGAAGGGGTGGGGAGACTGAAATACAAAATGAACTCGCCTTTCATACTTGCAGTGCTGTGAAAAGTATTGGAAGCAATCCAAAGTGGACTTATTCTATAGCGGTGTCCAGGACCTAGTGTGAGATATAAGTTTTGTTGAATGAACAGTGCTTTCAAATACCACTGTGCTGTCAAATTCAACATACATCTGATCCAAAACACCCACCCACCTCACTCACACACGAAAACAAAGATCACCACAGCCAATCACAAGCAAACAATCACACCCTAGGCCAACCCCAACCTCTCTCACCACCAAAGGAACACAAGTGAACAACACAAGCACGCTGACACCAAACTCTACATACATTAAACATAATAGAAACACCGCCACCCAATCCCACCCTTATCCATCTTCCCTCTCTCCACCCCCCTTTCTCTTTTCTCTCCTTTTTTTATTTTTATTTTTATTTTCTTCTCCCCCTAATGCCTCAACAAATGAAACGGATTTGTAAAAATGTTACAAGGGGAAAAATATATATGAGGCACTACACTTCTGTAAAACAAGAAAATCCTTAATAAAATATTAAATAACTGGGAAAAAAAAAATTCAACATACATGTAAGTGAACAATTGTCAAGGAAATTCAACACAATCACATTTGACTTCCAAAGATGATACTTCATCAAAAATGAGGGGAATGGTAAAAAGTTGAAAAGGAAGAGGAAGAGGAAGAAACTCTTATAGTGGATGTATACTGCAAATCAGGGAAAGTGCCATCAAGGTCAATTAAGTTTCACCCACTAAAATGACATACCACATTGTTGCATTATGGAACTGTGGTTTTTTCTAATGACATACCACTATGTCACTGAATTCCATTCATGTTAGTGTACACAACTGAACATGTCATGCCTCTTTATGCACCTGCATGCTTCTGTTCTCCCATGAGTCACCCAAGAAAATGGTAGGAAAGAACTCTTTGTTAGAATACTACCCCCAATATTACTGCATGCTCTGATCCATGCAAACTGCAGGAAAATAACAGTGCAAAATTCCCACGATTTTCCAGGTTAATGGGGTTGCAATTAATGAGGAAGCAATAGAAATGAAATGAAGCTGTCGAAATCATAATGCTGCTATACAAATCTATGGTGTGACCATGCTTGGGATACTGTGTCCCATTCTCATTGTTGCATCTCAGAATGAATATTGTGGAGCTGGAAAAGGATAAGAAAAGAGCAATCAAAATATGTATGAAGGAACCCCCAAAAGGTTACAGCATTTTGTGCTTTTTAAGTTTAGGGAGGGAAAGGCAAGTAAGGTGGGTGGGGAGAGAACATCACAGAGGTGCATAAAAGTATGCATGTTGCAGAAAAAGTGGAGTGTTTGTCCCTCTTTCATGAAAGTAGAACTTGGGATCATCCAATGAAGCTGAGCATGGGAAAATATAGGCCAGATTAAAGGAACTACTTCTTCATACAGCACATAATTAAAATAAGGAACTTACTCCCTCAAGAGAGGACTAAATAGCCACCAACTTTGATGGTTTTAAAGGGGATTTAGGGGGGGGGATCCTTGGAGTATAAGGCTATCAATAGCTATTAGACATGATGGCTGTACCCTGCCTCCAGTATTGGAGATGCCATGCTTCTAAATGCAACTTGATGTAGAGAAGAACTGTTGTGCTCTTGTCTTGCTTGTGGACTTCTCAGAGGCATCTGGTTGGCTACTTTGAGAATAGAATGCTAGACTAGGTAGGCCTTTGACCTGATCTAACAGGCCTCTTATTATGTTCCCATGCCTCTCGATTTGTTCCATGGTGAAAATAAAACACGGCTTAGTGCTATTTGCAAATGCAGTTTCCCCTAAAAAAATCTTACAAGTGCTCCATGTTTGTTTCATGAGCAGTTAACCTTCCTTATCCACTTTCATTTCTCCTTTCTTCTTCCTTTCTGTGCCTCTTGCACGCAGTCCAACCCCATACTTATTTATGTGGAATTAATTCCCACAGCATTCAATGGTGCTTAGTCCCAATTAAATTTCCATCGTGTTGCAACCCTAAAGGGCAAAATGGTTCTCTATACAGCTTCTTTTATGCCTCTGGTAAATATATTTAAACAGCAGTTGGGGGAAGGCTGGTATGTCTTTTGTTTTTGCTATGCTGACTCTCTGGCCGGTGAAGCAAACGGGACCAGATTGATTTGATATACTGCTTCCACCACCTGCAGTTTGGACAGGCACATTGTCCAAAGTACTGAGTACTGAGGTGACAGAAGCTTCCTTGCCACTGGCTGGTGAAAAAGGCAACCCAGACAGAGCTGAGCAGGGGGACAACTTTGCCTCACCCAAATCTCCTTCCAGCATAGTGGACCAGGGGTTTGGATTGTGCTGTTCATTCTTGTCCCTATCTTATTGGCTGAAAGTCATTTGTTGTATGTAGAAAAGGTAACCTAGTGTTTGTATTGTCTTACAGCAAATATAATAATTGTGTTTTTTCTTATCAGTGTATCTTTCATAAGGTATGTGGAAACGCAGGTGTCAAGTTAGTATGCAATAAGCAGTAATTATAAGAATTTGAAGACTTCACTGACATTTTCTTCTCTAATTTACCTTGAAGTCTAATAGGATTAGCATCAAAGATGAACATTTCACTAATTTAAATAAACCAGTTAGAACAAGATAAATAGGTTTTAAAAAAAGAAGTATGTGACACACTTTTGTTACCTAGTGTTCTTCTCCATGCCTGAAGAAAACTGGCTGAATCCAAAGGAGTTTTTGTCCTTAAGTGGCAGTGACCACAAGGATTGACAAGTACAGCAATCACCTTTGAGAAGTGATTTCTAAGGATGTTAAGACCATGAACTGCTTTCATTTGGAATGCCTTCTTTAATAGATGCTTCAAAACAAAGCCAACAATTGATCTGCTCTTTGGGAAAAAATGTGTTTTTGTATTTGAGAATGTGCTTTATCATGGAGAAGAAAACATGCACTTGTCTTTTCCAGTTTGTTATTATTTGACTACAGTGGTTACAAAGTTCTAATGCAGAGAACCATCTAGTACTCTGTTGAGAAATGTGAATCTATGTGAATAAAATAATTCTTCACATTGCCCGTGCAGCATCTCATAAAGCTGCAGCAGTTGCTACCAAACTAATATTAATCCATAGGAACATTTGTTAAGTGTTTATCTGTGTATCACAAAAACAGAAAAATGTAGCTGTGAAAAAATGTTTGTGGATTGTGCATTCCATCCCTTTGGTCTGAAAGTGTTACAAAAGTGGCTGCAGTTACATTGTACTAAAAGTGCTGAATGTTCTCCCACAGGGGCTAGTGATTCCTTATCTAATCTCATTTAGGAGAGCAAAATGTCCATTCCTGCACTATAATAATCTTGAGTATATGTCTGCTTGATGAAAAAAGTCAAAGGGTTTTTGTTTTTTACTTCTCAACTGATAAATAATGGTAATATAATATAAGACAAGAAAAAATAGGGACAGTTTTTCACTTTCTTTTTTCATCTTTATTCAAGCAACAACAGGGTAAGGGTTTTCCCTCTTCCTGAGTTGCTGAAAGATGTGCACCAGCTCTGAGGAAATGCCTCAGTAAGACTTACTGAGGCTACTGCAGTTGGGCTTCAGTGGCTCTGAAAATCCAGCAAATGGTTCCCTGGTCAATTTTCACATTTTGCAAATCAGAAGTGAAATAAATCCTGTTTGTTGTGGGGCTCACATGAGCAGCAGGAAACATAAAGCCTTGACAAACCATTCACTGCCATAGATCTCTCTTGATTTCAACTTGCAAACAAACTACATATGTAACTATATATCACAGGCCAGTAGTTGTACAGCCTAGTTGCATTAACATCTTCCCTTAAATTTGAGTTTCCTTTATTTGTAAAGTAATAGAATAGCAAAAAAAAAAATCTATACATTATAATTTTGGGGGAGGACTTAAATTTTCTACGTGCGTGATGGATGGTAATGTTTCAGGTTTTTCTTTTTTCTTTTAATAATGATGCTTTCCTTCCAGATATGCTAGCACAGGAAATAAATATTTGTCTATTTTGTCTTTCTTGTCTGTTTATATGTTTCTAAATGCCTGTTTGATCACTTTACGCTTTCCATCAAGGTTTAGAATTTTGTTTGCAAATACCAGTTAGCGGTCAGAACTCCAGATTGGAAAGAAAATACCATACAGTGACCCGAAAGTGGGAATGTGAAGAGGAAGAAGCTCACAGTTCAATCTTATGGATTCATAAGAAAAGATACATGTAAAAATGAGCATAAAATTACCTTTGAAGAATGTGCCTGTTGATCACTATCAGAATATATACCTCTCTCCACGAAATCTGTGAAAAAAACTTCAGCCAGAAGGCACAGGCAGTTTGTCCTTGTTCCTCTTCTTTCCTAGAAAAAAAGGGAAGATAAACCCACCTTTATTCTTGGAGAAGAGAGATGAAAGCACAAGCTCAAGGTGATCATATTATGTAATTCCATCCAAAGCCAAGTACACTTTTCTGTCAATCCTATCAAACAAATGGGCACTGCAATTCTGGAAGACTTTTGTCTTCTGCAGTGACTCCAGACTCACTTCAAGCACTGTTTCTTCAGTTTTCTCATTTTCCCTTACGCAAGTCTTGCAACACCTGGTTGAAGAGGATCGGAACAAGAGCTAGAAATTTAAAATTCATGTTTGACAATTTGGGTACAAAATAGTCAGCATATGCTATTTAGTGTATACTATAGCTCTTTTTCGAGCCCATTTCCCCCTACCTTTACATTTTGTTTCAATTTTGGTATACACGTATCACTACAGTATAACAAAGAAACAGAAGACAAGAACATTAGCCATATTATAGAAGTCTTTTTGTTGCTGTCGTTGGATGTCCTTGTCTAGTAATTATTCTCTTTTTTTCTTTAAGGTTATCTTAGAGTGCCTTTCCAGAGAAGTCTGTGTGTGGAGGGTGATTGCCAATTATGTTTGTTTTGTGTCACATATGCATATAGCTGAATCAAGTCATTTAAAATGCGTTCACTGTGTTTAGAGCCCTTCTTAATATACAACACATTTTGAAATGTATTGATTTTAGTTTCTTTGTGCTTAATTTCTGAAGTGTGAGCTGCCAGCCTCAAATATTCCTGGGTGTCCTTTCTGAGGGTATGCCTTCTTGGCAAATATATACATATGGGTACAAAGAAAAAAATGGAAATACTAGGTTTGTGATACCTCTTTGCAAAGCCCAGATATATACAAGATAAGAAGTGACATTTGCACAGAAATATCACAGAATTTGCACAGAAATGTCACAGACCTCCTGGACGTTTGCATTTCACAGACTTTTGGTCCTACTGTTTCATATCTCTAAAGTTGTATATATTATCTGCCCACTGAATATTGCATTTCTTGCATCTAGCAGTAGGCTCTGTTCCATGAAACTTCATGCCATAATGCAACTGTTATACAATGCAATCCTATGTATGTTTACTCATGCACACTGAATCCCATTGTTTTCAAAGGGGCTTACTCCCCAGTAAAGTGCATTCAGGATTGCAGCTACTGCTGTTTTTGATAACCAAGAGCTGGTCATTATTGCTTAAAAGTGAGGAAAATGAACTTTGTTATTACTTCACAAATTTCAGGACTGAGCTCTTTTACAGAAAGCTGGTTCAGTAAGCCTGCAACACCTTCCATGGTTACCTGGGATTAAGTCCTGCTAAAGTCAATGGTGGGAGTATAATTGGATAGGGTTGTGTTATTCCTCTCAGTAACCCTGGAAGGCAGCTTCCAGGCACTAGGCACTGTATTACAACTCAGCTTCTTCTCAGGGAAGTTATCATGAGTCATATTTGACTATTTTCATACTTACCTTAGTATAAATTAGTTAGTATTCCATTTAATGAAGACAGGAGTGCCTGGCGTGCTCTGGTCCATGGGGTCACGAAGAGTCGGACACGACTAAACGACTAAACAACAACATTCCATTTAATACCTGATATTTCCATACTCCCATGTCCCTTCCGCAATCTCTTCCTGTTATGCATTCTTTCATGATTATGTGAAATGACACTCCGCTGCCCCCACTTTTCATTCTCCTAGCCCCATGGTATGCTCCATTGCTCTCTTCCCCCAACCCTTCTCCATAGCCCCTTCCATCTTGTCTTTGAACCAACCTACCAGCTGTGGACATTCTATGCTTAATATTTCCTACTTGCTCCTTTTTCCCTCCTTGTTCTACACTCTATTTCCTTTTAATCACCATTGCCATTCCTCCCATACATCTTTTTTTGTCAGCCTACTTACTCTTTTAAATGATCTGGTCTACCCCATTACTACATCAGTTCCCTCATTATGCCTGCCTCTTGTCTTAAACGAAACCAGATGCCTGCCAGTGCTGCCACCCCGCCCCCACTACTCTAAGAGGAGAGGTGCCATTCCACCACCGAGGCTTCTCCGTTCTTGCCCACGACCCGTTTGCACGAGTATCAGTCATCCCTTCCCCTTCCCACCTCCTTTTTCCCCTCTCCTTGCCATTCCACCGGCTCCTTTGGAACAGGTTCCTCTTTCCCCTTGACTCCATTGACACCTGCTGGCCTCGGCTCTGAAGCCCCGCCCCCTTCCTCATTGCCATTCTCCAAGCGGCGCTCCTTCACGCCAAAAGAGAGAGAGAGCCCGCTCCGCGGTCACGTGCCCCCTCCCCGTCCGCTCCTGGCGAGGGTTTATGTGCCCCATTCACGAGCGTTACGCGCCAAGCCGAGGAGTGAAACAGTGGTGTACCTTTAAGGCACGTGAGGGAGCGAGGAGCGCGAGAGAACCCCTGCCGGCACGGCACTAAAACCCCTCCATTAACAATTGCAAACTCGCCTCCTCCGCGACTAAAGGGCGTTCTGGTGGGAGCGCTCCTCCTGAGGAGGTTAATGAGGGAAGCGGCAAAGACCAGCGGCAGCCTGGAGCTTGCCGGCTAGGAGGAGGAGGAGGAGCAGGGAAAAGAGAAGCTGCAACCAGCAGCCTTGGGAGGCTGTGGCAGACCTAGAAGCCGCTCGCTCCACGCCGCTTCCATCCGCAGACTGCGCGCGTGTCTCGCCTTGTCCGCTCAGCCCTCGGGTGCTGCGAGAGCGGCTGCCCTCCCCTCACAGGCACCTGGAAGGAGCTGCTGCTGCTGCTGCCTAAGCCACGCTGCTCGTCCTCCGCCTGCGGCCGAGCCCTTTCGCTCCTTAGCTGCCACCACAGTCGCTTCCTTTTTACCCCTCGGTTTCCCACCTCGCCCTCCCCGCCCTGGGGAAGGGCAGCTGACGCCGGCCACCGAAGCTGCGGGCGAGCACGGAGCAAGCTGGCGGGACTGACTGAGGTGGGCGGGAGAGAAAGAACTGTCTGTGTGAGAGGAAAATCTAATCTTGGCGCCAAGAAGCGAGCCTGAGGAGAGCCGCGTCTTTGGGGAGGGGGGCGCGCTCGCGCAAAGCCATAGGATCGGACGGCGACGCTGGCCAGGCTTTACTACTGCTGCTGCTGCTGCTGCTGCTCTTCGGCGTGACCGCCGCGGCGAAGTTCGACGCAAACGTGTTGCTCGCCGCCGCCGGCAGCCTCCACCTGCCAGCCCCTGTGGTTGTGGCTCCCGTCGCGCTGCCTTGCTGGAGCCCCGGCTGGCGCCATTCCGCGAAGGTGGGCATCACTTTGCCTGCCCTGAGGACCGAGGACACCCAGGTACGCTCCTCTTTCGGGCTTCGCCTGTTCTGGAAGGGCGCGCGGGACGACGGAGCTGGTGTGATCTTTCCTCCCGCCCCCCTCCTCCCTTCCTCCTCCCCTCCCGTTTGTGTGTCAAACTTTGCCTCACACATGGCGGTGACAGCTCTCTCCCCCCCCCCTTTCCCTCTTCTTCTTCCTCCTCCTCCTTCCCCCTCCCCGCCCCGCTTTCCCAGATGGGCGCGACTGCCCGAGGTGAGGGCGTTGGGGCTCGAGGAGGAGCCAAGACCCTCCTCCGTTATAGGAGCCGCTCGAGCCCGCGATTATATAGACGCCTCGTTTCAATCACGGGGCTTCGAGGCGTCAGGTTTTCCTCGTCGCTTATTTTGCTCCGTAGAAAGAGTTGAGCTGGGTAGGTAAGCAAGTTTTGAAGCTGCAGGAGGAGAGGCCAAGTTTGTCCTTGCTGGCTGCCTCTCGATCCCGGGAGGCGAGGCGATTTTGTACCTTAACTTCCACCGCCCTCGCCTCCCAAGCCCTCAACTGCCTGACAGACACCTCAGCAGTCAAGTGATGAAAATCCTGCAGTTTGAAGTAAAAGGCTCCTTTTTCCAGGCTTGCATGGATCCAGGATTTGAAAGAAAATGCCGTTAGGTAAACACACTTTCGCTTTGAATGCATCGTATTAAAAACCTGTAACGGTTTTTGAAGGTTTGTTTTGATGCGCCTCGTGTAAAAAAAAACTTGCCAATAGACATGTGTTATTTTTAAAAGATCATTTCGCATGTTTTGGGTTATAGTAAAAGGCTGCGTGTCTTGCGCCTCTATAGTGCTCTCTATGCAGATTATGCTAACTGAAATCTCTGCTTCCCTGAGACTGTTTTTACAGAAAATGTCAAGTACTTTTTTCTTTATTTTTAAAATGCTAGGTAAATATTTAGTAATAAGTTGGACACAAGGTATCCAAAGATTGCTGAAGCCACCTGCTGAATTGTTTTATTCCCGCCCCCCTCCTCAGTGCTGGGAGTTAGTTGTTAGCATTGTACAGACATCCAGCAGATGGAGCAATGGAAAACTGGTACAGTTTCTGCATTATAATAAACGACCGCTCTCTAATCATAGCTAAATAAAAGGTTATATTGCATACTTTCCCCAAAAGGGGAGGGGGGGACTTGCCTGCTGCTAAAGTTCGTGATTGATGGATCCTTTTATTTTCCTTTTAAAAAGGTGTTTATAATAAATTGCTGGTAGCATGTAGTTCGCAGTTCTGCTTTTTCTGCCTTAGGTGTATTTCTTTGGTATTAATGGCTCCCATTTGTGGGTGTGTGGGTTGTTTTTGCAATGCACAGTGAAAGACTAAATGGTTTGTAGTTAGGAAGGTAGCTCTTTGTGAGTACATGGCTGTAACTGTTGAAGCTACAAAAGGCTGTCTACAATTTAGACAGGTATAATTGGAAAATGTATCAGTTTGCTGCAGATAGTCTCAAGTAATTATACTCATTAAATGGTTAATTCAGTATTGCAATGGAAGTTGTCCTGATTGCGAATGAGCAATGACAGAAGTGTTGGTTGCTATGCTACAGCAGTGCGAACTTTTAAAAATAAAATTTTACTAAAGACATGAAAATGTTTATGGTTGGGAGTGAGTTTTGGTGGTTCTGTTGCTCAGATAAGCTCCGTAAAGATGGCATTCAGCAGGTTATACCTGTTACAATTTGGCATCTGTAATATTCACTGTGGGTGCAACTCCAGAGACCCTTTTTGACAGTTCCTCACCACCAAAACATCTTCTATGGCTACAAGTTAGTTTGATTTTATAATTGGTCTGAACTTGCATATAGACTACAATTTAATGTAGCCGGTTCCAAAACTGTAACTGTTTTAAAGCATGATCAAGGTGAAGTTTAGTGCCTGTGTATACTATTGATTTTAATCATGTGCTTTAATTTTCCATTGATTTTCATTGGACAGTAGAATGTACAACTTTGGCTGCATTATGCTCTTTGATAGCCATATTGATAATTTCCTATAAACGAGTGCTTATTGTGCCTCTTAGTTGGGCATTTACTATTAGGGAGGAATGTGGGTTAATTTTTGTTACTTGATGAGTATATGTAGTAGAAAGGGCAATGCAGAAGAAACCCATTTTGTTGTTAAATTTTCTATTTGCCTTCTAAAACTTTATTTGTCAACATTTTGTGTTAATATACATGCTGTATTCACTTATCCAAAAGTGAAGTGGGATTTTCAAAAACAAAGTTTTAAAGGTGTTTGCAAAACATAACCCTACACTACATTGAGGACTGCTGGAGGGAATAATGCATCATTAAAATAGATTCCTTTTCAGACTTGATGTGTATTGCCTTATAACCTTAAAGCAAATGCCTTTTTTAAAAAATAAAATTGGGGAGGTATTTGGGGGGGGGGTCTGGTTTTATAGATGTAACTATGTTCAAGCATTCAGAAGATTCTGTCCTCACTGATGTTAGCACCTCTTGATCATCTTAGTTGCAGCTACTTCAGCAGGGTGTCTGCTTATCTGTTGGTCTTTAAGATTGGTCTACTTTTTGTTGCAGTAAGATTGTGGTTCAAGAGCTGATCTAGAAAGCTGTTTTAAAACAATTTGATTTAAGTATATTCGGTCTCATTGAAATCTAAATCAGCTTCATTCAAAGTAATTGCCTATTTGGGTCAAGTTGATAATTAAGTCAAGAGTTCTTAAGAAAAAGTAAAGCTTCTACCATCTGGTTAAAGTAGATATTCCAGGTACATATTTATTTCTGTTCCTTTATTGAAATACTTCCCCTTGGGTTTATCCTCAACTGCCACCATGCCTTTTCACGTACACTGGAAGCTGCAGCTGTTGTGGCACCTATAGGTGTTTGTTGTTGCTCATGCTTTCTTCTAGGTCAGGAATGTGAAACCTATAGACTTCCAGATATTGCTGGACTCAGTGGCGTAGCGTGGGTTGTCAGCACCCGGGGCAAGGCAAGTAATTTGCGCCCCCTAACCCATGGATTTGCGCCCCCTAACCCGTGGATTTGCGCCCCTAACCTGTGGATTTGCCCTAACCCCAGATGTTGTGCCCGGTGCGGCCGGGCCCCCCTGCACCCCCCACGCTACGCCACTGGCTGGACTCCAACTCGCACCAGGCCCAGTCAGCATGGTTAATCGTTAGAGTTGACAGCAGTTGTAGTCCAGCAAATATCTGTAAGGGCACAGATTTTCCATGCTAAGTGCTGTATGCAGAGAGTTGGTCAAAAGGAAGCTAATGGGTTGCATATTCTTGTGGGTGATTTCATTGGCTTGTGTTGGCTTCTCTTAGTTTTCAAAATGCAATGCATTCAGAGGTGTATTTCTGTTTTTGTACTAAACATAATTGGATCCATGTTTTGGTTGTCTAGAATCCGGCACAAGTGCCAGAGATGGTTGTGAGAAGCGTCAAACCTAGTATTGTAAAAAGTCATTGCTTGGAGAGGTCATATGTAGCTCTGAACTTTGTTCTGGAGAAGCTGCATTTCTTTAATTATAGCAAATGGAGTAAAAGTTGGCATTGCTAGGTAAGTCAAGATGTAATTAACAATGGTGCCTTTCAATTTGATCAGTATATATTCTAAAATAATACATATACTTTTTTAACTCCAAAATCTCAATCTTCATATCTTTAATGGTAGTTCTGTTTCATTCTTCATGTTAGATGTTTGCTTTGACCACACAGTAAACCTATAATAGCATAAGCAATTTTTTTATTAGAATATAGGACAATCTGACATAACGTAACTTGGATTTTGACAGTGGGTGATTTGCTGTTCATTATTACATAAATGGAATTGCCTGTGCTAAGATGAAAATGGAAAATACACATGTTATTATCCAGCATGTTGATTACTTACTGCCTTCTCTTGAATACAAGGGAACTATAGCTACAAATATTTCAATTTTTTTAATGGTTGCTGTATGCATTACGAGAACTATTGTTTTTATTTGAAGATGATAGCCCACATAATCCTGAAGCTCCTGGTGAGTAAATCACAGCACCTAATTTTCCTACTATAAGCTAAAGATTATATTTAATGTGTTGGTCTGAGTGATTACAGCAGTGTACATTTTAAATCAATTGATATTAAAGCCTAGTTGAATCTAGATTATTCTCGATGGCTAGAGGACTATGTTCTGTTACAAACCTCAGTTGCCTTACTCTAGAGATGCTTGTGAACAACATACTTCTGCTTAACTGATATGGAGCAGATATTGTGATAGTTTCTGATAAAGGTTCAGAAGAAGGTAGTGGGGGAGGGGGCTGCATTGGAAATAAGAGTCACAGGATTTGACAGGGCTTACTTCTGGGTAGACATGTGAAGTATAGGAACACACTGCAACAGAAGCATTGCTGATCATAGGGTTAGTTACAGTGCTCCAAAAATTTACACCAAGGAATAACATGTCCTTCTTGAGGTGTTTGACCCATGCTCTTAGAGATGCATATGCAGAATGTGAGGAATAATTGCTCACTCCTGCTTTGATATGGCTTCATGCACTACCCAACTCTAAGTTGAAAAAATAACATTCCTTTTCATGTGCAGGGTGAAAGGCTTTATAGTCTTGACCAAAACAGTTACTCGTTTTTGTAAGTACAGTCATACCTTGGATTACACATACTTCAGGTTGCATTTTTTTCGAGTTACGGACCTGCCAAAACCTGGAAGTACCGGAATGGGTTACTTCTGGGTTTCGGGGGTTGCGCATGCACAGAAGCACCGAATCGCAAACCCGCACATGCGCAGATGCGCCACTGTGGGTTGCGAACGTGCATCCCACACAGATCACGTTCGCAACCCGAACATCCACTGTAGTTGAGCCTAGAAACCAGACAGAGCCAATGACTTATAGATTTCCTAAAAATAATCTGACTGCATGTCATATGATAATATGCCTTCACTGTGCAAATCCCTAGGAAGTCTAATTTGTGGGGGAGCGAAAGTGGACATATTTCACACTAGCACTGTCTCAATGGTTCTCTGAGTCCTACAGTGGGAGCTAAAGGGAAGCTGGAGGCAAAGAAAAAACCTGACAGAGATTTAACATCCTGAAGTAACTAGAATTCAGGTGGGCAGGGCACTCCAGCAGCAAAGGTAGGTCTAAGGGTGAATGTGTGAGCTTGAACTATACTCAAAATAAACTGGAGAACTGCCACTTTAACCTGGTCAGACACTTTCTATCCAGGTAAATGATAGAGAAGGAACATTATTTAAGTACCATTGTTCATGATTGACTGCATTCTTTTTTTATCAAGGCAACTGAATATTGCCTGCTATAAATAGCCTAATAGTAATATGCACCAATTCTGTACGGCATACTAAGGACAAATATCATTGTCCGACATGTAAATCCAAATTCTATGCCAAAAATTATGCTGAAAATGTTGCATTATGAAAACCTTCTACAATTCTTCTTCTTTATGCCTACTTTGAGTAATGTTTAGCTTTTTTAAAGTAGCCTTAATGTAAATCATACAATTTATGACACTAAACTAAAACATTGCACTTTGACTTGAACACAATTAAAATGGAGATTGCAGGCAATTGAGATTTCACTTAGAATAAATTATGCAGACAAGAACAGTATGCATATGTGTTCTAGTTTTGCATACTTTA